CTGTGCCTGGAGAGCCAGTTATGACTGGGTATCACTAGGAGAGCTGTTCCTAGCATCTCAATGGGTTTATGAACTTACTTTTTGCATGGGCAGTGAGTGCCTCTGCTGCATTGACTTTCCCACAGCTTCTTTCTTTGTGTGCATGGATTCATGGAGAAACTCAGTGGGTACCCCCCAGTTACCCCTGTACCTGGCACAGGAGGGATGGTACAGATGGCTGCTACCTTCTGCTCTTGCATCAGGCTGGCATCTGGTCCTGCTCTTTGTTGAAAAGTGGAAGATACATGTCAAACCAGTAATTCTATCATTGCCATCCTCAAAAATGGCAATTTAGTGAGTGATTGAGACTTAGAACAATTCTTTTCTCTAGCCTATCTAAACCGTTCATAGGGATCTGCAGATGGTAAAATCACAGGCACATCTTCAAAGCTGAAAGTCAGTGGGTTCTCTTTCAGGTGTTGTCCTCTACAGTGTGCTGAATTTATCCTATGGCTTTCTGTTTATGAATTGCTGCCTCTCTCTGCTCAGTGAACACTTGACAGAAGGCTGTTGCTCCTGCAGTACCTCTCCCACACATGCACACCTGCATGTCTCTGGGGCAACCTTCACACAGAAAGATGGTGTTTGTGTGAAGTCTTTGATGAAAAGTGCCTCCTGCCACCTCTGCTTACCTAGAATAAGCTTTCTGGTTATTGCAGCACTGAACTGAAACCATCTGGAAAAAGAATCTCCCAATAAAATACTCCTCTTAATTTAAAGAAGTTGCACATTTAAGATGTCTAGATCTTCTGTGGCAACACACTGGTTTCATCAACATTTTTAAGTAATATAACTGAACAGTTTTAATCAAGTCAACATTCTTCCTTTTGACGTTATGTTATGGTTTTGATTGAAGTAAGTCACTTGGAGTATATTGTTTTGCAAAAATGTCACAATATATAACTTTTTGGCCCCAAATTGAATTGAAATAAGCATCTTGAAATCTTGTTTTGTTCCCCTGCCAGGAGACAGGAATATGATGTTTTACAGCCAGGACTAGTTACAGCTTTGATGGCTGCTGCTGTTAGCCTTGGATGTCCTGTCACACAGATACTGGTTTTGACTGCAAAGTGAAGCATTCTTCTTTCCTTTTCCATGAAGCTGTGTACCTGTAGTTCATGCTCATTTGGACTCTTACTTTTTAAATCTGTTTTTTCATAAGGTGTCTTTTCTTTGCCTTTCCTAGGGATCATTTAAAGAAGGAATTAAGGGATAAGGGACTGTAGTGGTCTGACCATCCTCTATTTACCGCTGATTTGCCTCACAAGTTTATTTCTGTTGATTCTGAGGGATTCAGTCCCAATCCAGAGCATTGTCCCTCCCTTGCAGGGGTACTTGAGCTTTCTCAGGATGAGCTGTGTGCACAGGACTGATGACAGCTACTCTAATTGTGGCCCAGTGCAACCCAGTAAAGCTGACAGGGCTAGCACTTGAACCAAAGGAGAGCAGGATACACATGTTGGGAAACTCCACAACGGACATAAATGGAGACCTCCTGGGACATGAAGCAGTGCATGAGGGCTGGTGTGGGTGACACTTGGGTTCCCTTGCTGTAGAGCTCTGTCAGGCTTTCAACATAGCCTTTGGAAGACTTTTATTTCAGGTGTGCAGAGCTTTATTTGTTGTGGCATCTCACTCAACTGAGCAGCAAAAGTCAGTGACATTGATTAGAGTGGGTGAAGGACATTGTTGAGAGTAAAAAGATTCCCATGTAAGTGAAGCCCTTTCACATTGCCCCAGTTGTGTAAAAGGGCACCAAGGGAAGCATTAAAATGGTTAATAACCTCTGCTGGTGTTAAACTCCTCTCTCCTTCAGAGACAGAGTATTTTTTGCCCTCTCGGTCTAGACACCTTTATTTACAGCTCCAGCTTTTGATGCCATTACCAAATAATGAGCTGCTGTCTCCAGAGCATCATTCCAGCACTGGGGAAGGGCATAGATCCAGAGGCAGTGGCACATCAGCTGTGTGGGCTGGCAGGAGCCACACTTGATGTGGAGGGATGGGTTTTCTCAGTGGGGCTTAGCAGCCATGTCAGTGCACTTCCCTCAAACCTGGTTTTCTCTGTGCCTGAAGAAGAGGCTGTTTCTTTGATATGCAAGTTTATGGGTTGAGTACAGCTATGGGTGTGGGGAACAAATGGAGAAAATGCAGGAAAAACACAATGGTTTAAAAGAGTAAAAAGACATGGTTTTGTTGGAGTCATTACGCCAGAAACAAGGAGCCTCTGATGAAGGAAAGTGAGCCTGAGGATAGGAAAGATTGTGATGTTATTGACAGAGAAGGGGTTCATAAGGATTTCAGGCTTATCAGTTTGGCTTGAAAACCCAGATGTTGAGGGATGTGGAAATGGTGGGAAGAGAAGGGGTACAGGGAAATTGAACAGGGCACTGAGCAAGTAGCGTGAGAGGCAGGAAGCAGGGGCAGGGCTTGGTGTGAGCTCTCCAGGCCTCTCTGTGAGCCAGAGGCAAAGGAGCAAGGACAGGAACAGGGGAAGAACCGGAGATGACCTGGACAAGCAAACAAACCCTTGGATAGAAAGAGGGTGTGGGTGAGGGGGGCAGGAGGTGACTGTACAGGGAAGGGCAGTCGAGCAGCTCCTTTCACAGAAGCTGGACTGTCCCACAATAAACCCTCAGCTGTCCTTGAACTTCTAGACATGCTGGATAGACATTATCACTGGCTTTCTGCCTCTTGTTTCAGCATATGGGGTAAGTGTGGGTTTCTTGTCGGGAATTCAAGTTTATGCCTGTGACATTTTGGAACACCTGAATGTCCAAGCAGAGCAGACAAACTCCACTCCTGGGGGTGTCCTGCTCCCATAGTCACATTTGCTGATGGGCTGTGCTGTGCCAGGGCAGCAGTAGCTGACTGAGCTGAAGTGGGTGTTGCACACGAGCTCACCCATTCCATGTGCCACAGGTGCTGGTTGCCAGGGTGATGCTGTGCCCTACTTTTGAGGCTTCACACACCCAGGACTGTGACACCTAAATGGCCCATGCCAGTGTGCCAGGGCTTCCTGAGCCTGGGAGGTCTGATGTGGGGGAGAGAATAGGGAGTACAGACCAGGGGAGAGCTGAGCTCAGCTGCCACCACCATGGAATTTGAGCAAGGGCTGTACATGTGCTGAAGCATTAAAGCTGGGAATGACCAGGGGGAGGGGATGATGACAAAATCCTGCTGTGAGACCCTTTAATTGTCCTTCCATTCATTATTTCCCAGCTAGAGCCATGTAACAATTACAAATTTGGATTACCTGGAAAAGCTGCTGAAAGTAGGATAAATTATTAATTCGCATGCTGGGTTCTGAAGAATTAATTTCAGCACCACATATTGAAAATTCTCCTTCACATGAAATAACCTAATTTCGAGAGCAGTTCTGAAAAAGTGAGATTCTTCCAAGCTGTTATTGTATTTTCTGGCAATTTTATTTTCCCTTTAGCACACTCAGCTAATATACTCAAATTAGTAGTAGGAAACCTACATTTGTAAGAATTATATCTCTCTACAATGTACTAAAGTAATTGAAATTCTGGGGCAGAACTGTGGAAATTCTTAGCACAGTTTGTCCATATCTTATCAGAACAGGCACACTTGTCCCACAGCCTGGCCAGCTGCCAGCAGGGACCATGCAGCCTTGTTGGAAGCCCACTTTGAATGAGAGAAGTAATCTTTCTGAATGGGTTTTCTGGCAGGATTCCTGTTGCGTGTGTGGTTTATTGTTCTTGGTGATGTGGCTGTATTTTGGCCCCCAGATAAATGTTTTAGGGTCGTTATTCTTTTGATGATGGGAGGGGTTCTGGGAAAATAATCAGATTGCTAGTTCTATAAAATTCTATAGGCAAGCTTTTTTCTGGTTTAAGTGGTTTTCCATGTTAATTGTGTAACTTTTTGAGAATGCTTTTGATAGAAAGGACAACAGCTGATTAACTCTTGAACTTCTTTATGGCCAAAGAGTTTAGTAATGAAAAAGCAAACCATTTCCCCTTTTTCAATGCATTTTAACAAAGTAGTATTATGCCAATTCATTTATATATATGTATATATTCTGTTCATAGTGCAGTAATTCACTATAAAGTACTGCTGGTGTTGTCAAAACTAAAAGAAGTGGTTGCCAGAGGTGCCACATCCTCAGTTGGTGTACACATCCAGCTGTAACTCAAGGGAAGTCGGAGTCGATCCCTCTGCACCACAGGCCTGTGGAGTTGTGCCAACCTCTGTGAGCAGAGGATCCGGCCCCTAATATGTACTACAGGATAGCTAATATGATGTGTAACCACAGAGTAACCGCAGGACACAAAGAAGTTCTATTTTAGCACTGCTGGAGCAAAGAAATAACTTAATGCTGAAGACTGAAGTGCAAAGATTGCTCAGTGGGGGAAGGAGGCAGGAAAAAATTCTTATTTTGAGTTCACATATGTACAGATAAATTCTCATGTCCTAAGGCTAAGTTTTGTCTATAAAAATTCTGTGAGATTTGGGTCTTTGTAATTAAAACATACAGAATAATTAACTTAAGCTTATGTCTGCAGAGGAAGAGCTGTGTTTTTACTTATTCTCTGCCAAAAAAATATTTTTAGCTGGTAAGATTAACAAAAAGGCATTGAAGTATAAAGGCCTTCTTTTTATTGAAATATATATATACATTTTGTCAACAGAACAGTCACAATCTTTTTTTTCTTCCTTTCTTTTTCAAAACAGGGGTGGGGGAAGCATGCAGCTCCAAACTTAGTGCCTGCAATGCTTGGAAGACATTATGATTAATTTTGTCCTTAGGTTTCCAGATGTTGGATTTCATCCCAACTTTTAAAGACCTCTAATGTTTAACGGGATATGTGCTGAGTATAGTCTTTAACAGAGTTTTCTTTCATAACTCTAGGATCTATGAGAAAAGGTAACTCAGGAAACCACTGCAGATTCCGAACTGAAGCTACAGCCTTCTAGGAAAAAAGCCAACATTAAATGTGCAAGTTTGGACTGGAGCTCTATTCATTTGGGAAGACTATGGATAGGTACCAGAGCTGGCAGCAGAGCTGTTGGAATGCCATCCTCCTCATGCTGCTGTGGACTGGCAATTCCCAGGCGCAGAGGGACTGCACGGGCGCGGAGTGCCAGCCCCTGGACAACTGCATCGAGGAGGTGCTGGAGCCTGGCGAGTGCTGTGCCACGTGCCTGCAGCACGGCTGCACCTGCGAGGGCTACCAGTACTACGACTGCGTCAACGTGGGTTTCATCAACGGCAAAGTCCCCGAGGGGCAGTCCTACTTTGTGGACTTTGGGAGCACGGAGTGCTCATGCCCCAAGGGAGGAGGCAAGATCAGCTGCCAGTTCATGCTGTGCCCAGAGCTGCCCCCGAACTGCATCGATGCGGTGGTGCCAGCTGATGGGTGTCCTCAGTGTGGGAGGATAGGCTGCCTCCACGAGGGCCAGAAATACGTGGCAGGGCACACTTTCCACATGCCCCCCTGCAAGGTCTGCCACTGCCCCAACGCTGGTGGGGAGCTGATGTGCTATCAGCTTCCAGACTGTAACACGTTGGCCTTGAACACTGCCAGCCCACTTGATGCCGAGGACAGCGATCCGGAGAGGCACTACGACGACCCGTACAGCTACGACCAGGAGGCATCTGAGGGAGACAACACCCAGGTGGAGTCTCCGAAGAAGTACAGGAGTTACTCATCTCACCTAGAGCAAGAGAGCATCAGCCAGGAGCAGGGTGAGGACTATGACTACTTACCAGCCAGCATTGCTCCTTCAGCTTTGGCTCCAGCTGATCCGTACACTGAGGAAACGGCTGTGCCCCTCACCACACCAGTGCCCAAGGTCCCCTCTGAAGGTCACAGTAACACAGAAAGAAGTGAGCGAAGGAGGGTGCCCCGCACCACTGCAGCATCCCTCCAGCATGTGATGCGTAAGGAGGCGCCAGTAACCACCAGTGCTCCTCCAGAGCACACCACAGCCACCACTGAGACACCCCAGCACCTGGAGGAAGTGGAGAAGAGGTCAAGAGGGAAGCAAGGGGACAAAGAAAGGCATGAGCAAGAAAGACCCCCCCACTCTAAAATGAAAAAGCATGCTAGGAAACAAGACCCAGGGAACAGCATGTATCAGGGCTTGAGAGTGGTGAATTTAACAGAGCCGAGCTGGGAAAAATCTTCCCATGAAACCCTTGAAGGAAATGATTTCCCCAAAGTGAAGTTCAGTGCCACAACCTCTCCTCCTGTTGCTCTGAAGGAGGACCGTAGTCAGTCCTCCCCAAAGCAGTCACAGACGCTCTATCGTTACCATCCCGAGGAAGATGGGGACCCCAACTCTATCCACGCCAACCCCAGGCAGCCAGAAGGTAAGAACTACTCCCAGTGCAGATGTCTAGAGAATGCTTATTGATGATAACATTGATGCACATCCCCTGTTATGTTCTTACTGCTGTACATGGGCATGAAACCAAGCAAACCTCCACTTACCTTCTTTGGGTGCTCCCAAAGATAGTCTGTGTTCCATGTCACGTAACAGGTGCCATGTCACTGTTGCCCACCTTGCTTTGATTTCATACACTGTGGATGGTGTTTCCTGGCATTTGAACTTTATTTCAGATGATGATGTATTAAACTCACCTTTTTCTTCAATTACTTGCTTTTAATTTCTAATGTCATGGTAGAGAAACATCTTCCTCTACACAAAAGATTTAGTTAACTCCAGTTACCAACTCAGTGTAATCACATTTGTAGCTTTTGTCTGTTTCTGGGAAGGAAGTGAAACAGTTGTGCTTGCACTATGAAAATATTTACAGCGCTTGTTGTAATATTTATCCCATGGTTGAAAGACTGTCCAAGCTCATTAGCTCAAGAACTTGATAGATACCCTCAAATACCCTGAGGACTACTAGTAGGGAGAAAAAGGCCTGCCTCTTGCTTTGTGTTTCTTGGAGCCTGGAAGTTTATGATATTTATGATCAGCCATGGCAAGTGTATGTGTTTCCTCCATGCCTCTGGATTCCTCTCCACATCTGCAGGGAACGTTGATTATATGCTTCATGCAATGCTCATTACTATAATGAATGCAAGCTTCATCTCTGTAAATTAGCACACATACAGCTCTTATTTCCAATTCATTTTTCATCGAATCAAGAGCAATACCTCCTTTTTCAAGATGTGGCACAAAATGTTCTCATGAGACTCAGCTGTAGAGTCCTTGTAGTGTGAGCAGAGAATACTGGTTAGTGCCTAGGCAGTGATATTTCTCCTGGGTTACGTGGATAGCCCTTAAACATCTTGAGCTGTCTAGTCCATCTACTCAAGGATTTGAAGGCAGATGGGAGGAGGAGAGAGGTTTGGAGCTGAGTCTCTATGTCCCAACACAAGCAGGTCCTTGTGACTGTTCCCCAAACAGGAGGTGTGCCAGGACCAGGAATTTCCATTTTCTTTGACTTCCCTTTTATTTGTTGCAGCCCACCTCAAAACCTGAGCTGAGCCTTGCACCAAGGCTGTGTGTGATACATGGGTCTGAGTGAGGACTAATGCACAATAACCTGTTTGCTGAAGTAACTTTAAAAACCCAATTTATTTAAAACTAAATTGCCTTTTTGTTTTCTTTCATAAAGGAAAGATGGATGAAACACCCAAAATTTTCAATGAGGGGGTTTAAGAAAGTCTGTTGAGATGAAAATGTTCATCAGCAGAGCAAAGTACTGTGCTTTAGAGTCTCCTTGGATGATTTCCAGTCTGTGATTCCTGGGAACTGCTTGGCTGAGACAGGTCTGGTTGGGGGCTGGATTAGGTTGGGATGCCTGGAGCAGAATGTGGTGGATGTCATGTCAGGCATGAATTGTTTAACTGACAGAAGCAGGCTTGGGAATCACTGGACTCCATTTCCCCCTCTAGCTGATATATCTGTGATTTCCTTTAAATACTGTGGAAGTAGAAATGAAAATAGATATCCCTTGGGAGCACAGAACTCTCTATCTGGCTGTAGTTTGGGAGCTGTTTGTTCTCTAGCCCGTGGAGTGGCTGCATGTCCTAGGCACAAGCACTGGGGCCATTGCACCATGTCCCCACAGTGACTGACAAGTGGGACCTGAGCAGGCGGCCCCTGTCCCCCATCTGCTCCACCATCCCCATTAGAAATATTGGTGGCAGCAGTTGTTTATGGAGCTACAGAACCTTCTCCAAAAATCAGGAATTTCCCTTGCTGTGGCTAGTACCAGTGTTCTTGCCCTGGGGGCAGTGGTATTTCCACTTGTTGTGTTGTTTTAATTGATGTGGTTGTGACTCATGTGAGTAGATCCATATGTTTCAAGTAATACAGCACATACATCTTGTCTCTTCGGTGACTCCTGAGCCAGTGGTAGAGGGGGAGTGAAGATATTAGTTAGACTTGAAAGAAAAATTAATCTTGCCTACAGATAAAGAACGAAAATATAAATTTTGTACACATAGTTCTAACTACAAAATGACAGTCTACCAGAATTGCCAAATACTTCTTTTCTCCCCTCAAGAACCATCAGCATGATGTAAACTGCATCAACCCCCTAATTTTTAGAGCCTGTGGGGCTGTTAGTCTGTTTCCTACAGAGGCTGCCACCACTCCTCTCATGGTGAGCGCAGGTTTTGTTCTCTCAGCAGGGTGCTGGGGGTGCATTTCTGTGATGTATGGATATTCTACATATATTAGGGGGTTTTTTTAGGTTTTATTTTTCTCCAGAGTTTAGAAAAGTATAGAAGTCTCCACAGAGGCATTTGCTGCCACTAATAGTTCAGCCCAAGTTATATGGCTATTGCATTTGTTCCTCCTATTAGCTGTCTCCTGGCTCCAGAACTCTGCTATGATACCTTTGGCTTAAGACTTGGCTTCATTACTTGTATTTTATGTATCTCACTTTGGTTTTATATGTAGCTGAGTTTTCATCTCCCAAATCTCTGCTGACTCCTGTAATCTAATGGTGGAAAGTACATGGAGCACTTTGGTGCTCAAGAAAGATTCGTTTTGCGTTTTGTGTCTCTTTCTCCTTTTATGCATCATTTTTCATATGTTTCATCTGTAGCATTGCGCTGCATTCACATCAGCCAGCTCAGATGATCTCTGTGGCATTTCCACTCATGGACTCCAGAGAATTGCAGTTTGTTTGGAGAATTTTTTTCCCCTCTCCTTTGTTTCTTGCAGATTTTCTGGGTGCTGTGTGGGGCCAGGCCCTCGCTGGTGGCTCTCTGGAGCAGCAGCACTCGGCCCCCAGGGAGGATCAGGTACCACTGCTAGCACAGAAACTGGCCCTATTGGGAGCCCGTTTTAATTAATTAATTAATGGACCATTTTCAAGGTGGGAGGCACAGCACCAACTCTGCAGGGCTGAGTGAGCCCAAGGGATTCTTTCCTGCATCTAGTAGGGTGTTTTATTCCATCTGTGAGTGCACTTGTTATAGATCCTGGATATAGACTGAAGAGCTGCTTCCTTCAGCGGCACACAGACCCACTGGAGTTTCTGTGCAAATGCTAATTACTCCATTCCTAAAGAAACTGTAAGTGTCAAGTAGAGGTAATTACTCAGCTGAGAAAGTGTAAATTAAGAGCTTTCACCATGGGAAGGGATGAGATTGCTGGAGACTATTTTCTTTATACAGGCTCTCTCCAAACATTGCTCTTACCCTGTCACTTACTGCAAGAGCAGCAAACAGAGGGAGTTTTAATTTCTGTGTTTCCTGTTTCCTTATCCTAACTGAACAGAGGAGGGCTGTACAAAACACCTTCAAAGAACCTACTGTCAAGTTTTGCTGTGATTTTCCCACTTTTTTCCCTTTCCCCATGCTCTGACAGTACAGTGCTGTTCTTTGGATAAATGTAACCCTGGTAGCAAGCAGTCTCCTTGTGAATGTTTTATGATTTGCATTCAGGTTTGGGCAGGCTGAATAACAGTTTGGGTCTAGCTGGAACCATTGTATGTCAGAATGGAGGTATTTTTCTACTTTAAAAGAAATCACAAGTCAAGGAGGAGTTTATCTCATGCTTTTAGAGATAAGGATAATTGTTCTCTGGCTGAAGTGAATTGCACCAATTTGTGAGCTGAGATCACTGGATGTGAGAGTGGCATTTATTGCAGGCAAATCCTGATCAGGTGGAAGCTCTTGTGTAACTTCTGAGGATGTAGCTAAGATTTCAACCAACCCTTCTGCTGCATGTTTGCTGATATTGAAGCTCAGGATGAAAGATGGCCTTGAATTTCCAAACTGAGAACAAATAGGCCATGTGTGGGGCCAGGAGTTGGACTTGATGATCCTTGTGGATCCCTTCCAACTCAGGATATTCTATGATCCTATGAAAGCAGACCTGCAGTGAGTATTTCCAGAACATTCCCTGAGCACACCCACCCTTTGTCCCACTTACTGCCACCATAAAAATTACTGGAGGTGGGAGAATGCTGTGGATGGTCCTTTGGAAACAAACTCTGTTTGTAATTGCTTTGTATTTTTTGCTATCAGGTGAAGTGTTCTCTCCTCTTGAATTACCTCAGGCTTAATCCTGTGTTCTCTACATCATCCCAGTTCACTCTGTAACGGGAAGAAATCAGCTTTGAGCCCTCAAACTAGGATATCTGAAGAATAAAAATAAACCTCAGGAGAGTGGTGTGTGAGGAGAAAAAGCCTCTGGGCCAGCAAGTATGATTCAACCTGAATTACAGCCCCAGGTGACAGTGTTCAGTGGTTCATTTGGTCGATGAAGTTCTGAGATAGGATTACAAAGGAAGATAGTGTGAGTGGGAATGAGGCAGGAAAAGGTACTTGCAAAAAGAGCAGGACTAAAACACTATAAAATTAAGAAATGTTTTAAGAGAGAACCACAATATAAGATCTATCTGTTCTGCCAAAACTGGCATTTGTACCTTATTAGGCAGCTGGGTGCTAGTTCAGGTGGGAAAGGAAAAAATGAAACCATTTCCTAATTAAAACATCCCGTGTATGCTGTGTGAGAGCTGATTCCCTCATGGCTGCTAGTGCACAACCTTCCCTAGACCCCTGCCCTTGTCACCTCAGTGAAGTGGCCCCAGGGGCTGCCACCCCCTCCTGGTCCAGCTCCACTGCCCTGCAGGTGGTGAATCCATGAGCTATTGCTGAGTCACTGCCACCAGCACTGTCATTTCAAGCTTGTGCTTCAGTTGAGCCTTGTGGGGTGAAGTACAGTTCTGTTCATCGCACACAGGTTTGGAAGGAAACCTCCCTGAGGTGGGGTAGGTACCACAGTTGTATTTTCATGTCCTTTTAGTCTTCCTTCCAAAACCTAAAAGCACAAGTAGGGGCTGAGGTTGAACAGCAAGGTGACCTCATTTGCAGCATTTCAGTACTTAAAGGGATTTTGTAAAAAAAATGGAGAGTGACTCCTTATACATGCAGATAGTAATAGGACAAGGGGGAATGGTTTTAAACTACAAGAGCGTAGATTTAGATTAGATGTTAGGAGGAAATTCTTCCCTGTGAGGATGGTGAGGCACTGGCACAGGTTGCCCAGAGAAGCTGTGGCTGCCCCATCCCTGGAAATGTTCCAGGCCAGGCTGAATGGGGCTTGGAGCAACCTGGGCTAGTAGAAGGTGTCCTTGCTCATAGTAGGGGGTGGAAAGGGATGGTCTTTAAGGTCCTTTCCGGCCTAAACCACTTGGATTCTATGATGCAAGAACCACTTGAACTGGATCGGGCCCATTGGCACTTTCCATTTTAACAAGACCAGTAATATCAAGTGTGTGTGCTAAACACTGGTTGTGGCATGAATTTGTGAGCAAAGGGTGCAAGGAAAATCAAAACCTGCCCCAGTAACATGGAGGAGTACACTCAGGCTAATTGTTTGCAGACTCTGAAATAAAGCCTAGCCAAAATATCCACTCTGGCACTGGACTGTGAGGTGTGACCTGGCTTTCTGTTTCCAAAGCTCTTTCTTTCAGTGGGTGCAGCATTAGGTCTGTATCAAGGGGTTTGAGTAGTCCCACATGAGGAATGGGAGCAAGGATCAGGAGGGCTGGTCTGGCCTACCAGCCCAGGCATGCAGACAGCAGCTGAATTTTGAGAATCCAGACTTGTCCTACCCAGGAGCATACTTTTGGGGTCAGTGCTGGTGCTTTGGTGTTTTTGTCTAGCTGATCTCTCTGGACATGTTGTTGCATGGCTGCTGTTTGCCTGTCTGTGTCTTGGGAAGTGCTGTGGGTCAGCCCACTGCTGCTGCTTTTCCAGCTGGCTAGGCTTCAGCACACCTCTCCAAGCTGCAGGCTTTGGATTTGGAGCATTACTCTTTGCAAGAATTCCCCTGTAGAGCCCAAGCCCTCCTCACCACAGCCCTCCTTCCACTCCTCCTGTGCATCTCCCTGCTAAAACAGATATATTAACCACAGGTCAGGAGCTCCTGGTTAGTGATACTTTTATGTCAGGCTTTTAGGGAGCTGTTTTGGTCCTCATCTCTGAAAGAGTACTTTAAGCAGTAGGAAGTATTACTACTTACTTATTAAGTAGCTGTATATTGAGCCAGGGGCTCGTGATTTTTAGTTAGAGAATATAGCGTAGAGGGTCTTTTCCTAAAGCTGTGGAGGTTTGTGCAGAGGTGCAGGCACAAGTATGCACAATGCCAAGCTTCAGTGCCATGCTTTGCTAAAAGTTGGGAGCCTATCACAGTCAGATGTATGCTGACTTTTAAGAGCCTAAACAACTGACAGAAATGCACAGGTCTCGAGTTTTTTTCTTTTCAAATGCTGGTACCTGCCAATCTAGCCAACAGAGATGTGTGAGAAGGTGGCTCTGTCTTCCTGAGCTACCACAGAATGAAGATAACAGCTCCCTCACTTCAGTGTGATCATGGGGACAAGGCTGTGAGTCACTGGGAACTGTGACAGGCAGGTACAATATGCAAGGTGGGAGAAACGTGTGTTCCTTCAGCTCTTGCTAGTCATTCCTTCCTTAACTGCACCCTGAAGAGCACAGTTCTTTTCCCAGCACCTGGTGTGGTGGGGAGGTGTAGCCAGATTTCCCACCCGCTGATAGTGCATTTATACACCCAGTTGTTTGTGCTGCAGCACAAGGACTATTACTCATGCAGTTGGCTGGAGCAGTTTTGTATAAGGAAATCCATTGTGTTCGTTGTTGGCACCAGGGGAAGGTGCAGAGAATGAAAGAAAAGTGAAACAGGATAAGCATTCACACCTGGCTGGGGTGTGTGTTTTGGCAGTAGGGGTATCCCATCCTCAGTGGGGGAGCACAGTGCTGCTGGCACAGGCCCAGAGGGCAGTGCCTGCCTGGGATAGGTTTTCCACAGTGACACTGAACACAAATATCCTTAACTTAATGGGAATTCATTACCAAGATAGTTTAAAACTTACATATTGCAATAACACAGCTGGAGTTGAGCACCTACCCTATGATAGCATCAAAATATCTTTGGAAACCCACCGTGTGTACCTCTTCTGTAGAGGTAAATATCATCATTTATGCAAAGTTAGTTCCATCCATGGTTTGCAACAAGAATATTTGATCTCAATTCTGAAATTAAAACATGCTGTAGACAACCTATAAAAATAAGATGGGAGTTTTCTTGTACAAATTAATTACCTACTTGAACAGATGAGGCTGTTGGGCTCACCAGGTTTCTCAAGGGGACCGTGCTTGCTGGTTATTTATAGTATGCATCTGAGAGTATTTTTTTGCATGCATGATTGATACTTCCCCAGAAAATAGAATTTAAATGAGGCTTCTTTGCAGTAGTATGTCTGCTATTCTAATCGATCACCAAGGAATTAAAACCGACTCTGAATATAGCTCCTTCTTAGAGAAAGGCAAGTGTAAGTACTCATTTCTGATCCAAATTTTGTGAGACAATAACCTTTTGAACAGTTTCAAATATGTAGGCCAAATAGACGTGGCTTTCTAGCATGTGCTTACTCATGAAAGGATTTGTAATTTCATTACCCTGGGCCTCACAGTGAGCAATATCTCTTACCTCTCAGGGATTCTTAGGTAACAAGCCAGCAGTAATTGGAATTTTATAAAGATTCCCTTATGTGTGAGCAGGTTTATGTTTTCTTGACTATTTCCAGTCTGTCTGTGCTGTGCCTTAGATGACCAATTCTCTTCCAAAGCCACCGAAACATCCTAAAGCACTCTCCCAAAGCACCACAGGTGTTGACACTAAGCCAAAGGCTTGAGAGGGGCAGAGGGGAGCTAAGTAAATGTGCTATCTTCAGGACCATCAAACCTTCACTGCACATAGTGCCCTTCCC